TGTTTTTCTCCAGCTTTCAACTCAATTTCACACTGTGTTGATTCCCAATTGCAGCTAGAGTCTCCCCTTGGTGCCACTGGCAGCTCCAAGCTTATATCTTACCATCTTAGTAGCCCCAATGGAAAAGAGTTCCCTTTCCTACTAATCCAACAAAAAGTTTCACACTTGAGTTTCATTGGCTGGATTGGGCCATGTGTCTATCCCTGAGCCAACTGTCATGAACCAGACCTGGAGCAGGGCAAAGAATTAGAGGTCAGCTCTCCCCAGCCCCGCCTTCCCCCCCACCACCCCGCGCTTGAACACAGTATGGAGATGGTTGCATCCCAACGGAGATTCAAAGTGCTGTTGCCAAGAGAAGGGGGGTTGATGATGGGATGGTGAACATGACAAGTATCACGATATTTGTACTCTCCTAGAATCCATCAATATCCCCTAGTTTCAGTGCCAGGGCTCAGGCCAAAGATGGGCCCAGGGGCCCCAAGGGGGGGTCTGTAAATATTAAACCTACTAGTATCTCTAGATATGTGTAGTGCAATGCAGTCTGCACTGAATGGGAATCCAGCTGAACGTCCCATTACAACTTACAGTTGTCATGAACAGCAATTGCTAAGTAAATGAGTCTTTGGGCCACTAGGTTTTATTAAGTTAAATGTGCCTGTTAAATTGTTTTATAGAAGGTAGAAATTCCATATGTCAAGGGGGAAAAAGAATGAGGAAAAGGTCAATCTAATACAAAAGAAGAAAGAGTGGGGCAGCTATAAAACAGAAAATCACATTGAAGAAATTAGTCACAGTATGTCAGTAAATACAGGACATGGAAATGGAATAAATGGGTAATTTTTAAAAAGATAGATTTTATTTTTTAAATCCAAACAAATATTTTCTTACAAATGAATAGACTTAAGGAAAAAATGTTGAAAGTATGAGGAAGGAAAAATAAGACATACTGGGCAAATGCTAACTGAAAGATTTGGGTAGCTATGTTAACAGCAGATAAAATGAAATTTAAGTAATATGTTTTACTAAAGATAAAGATAGCTATGTTTTGAAAAAAAGATTTGATTCACAACAAAGATTATGATTTTAAATTTGTATGTACCAGATAACCTAACTTCTAAAACATGTAAAGTAAAATTTACAAAACTACCAAGAGAAATTAATAATTAATATCCTAAATAAGCAGCATTAAAAATGAGGAGGCCTGCAAACCTGGCACCAAGGGTATGACCCCACAGTCTGTGGTCATGTCCACCAGCCCCCTGCCTGCTGCCACCCTGGGCCCAGGGAAAGGTGCTGCTGTCCAGACACTGTGCACTTGGGCATAAATTCAGTTAATAACAGAAAATGTTACTGGATCACTGGGAGTCAGCAGCTTTGCACAGGGACAAGTTGTTTACTGTAATCTGCTTGAAGTTGGAATAAAAGTGAACAAACCAGATGAGTTTGGTACTTTGGAAAGTGTGAAAGCTGCTAGTGACCTCTGTTCTCTATCAGAAGTAACTGAAATGAATGAATTCTTGCAGAAAATCCAGGACATGTCAATAAATCTTGTTCTAAGGATTGATTGATCAAGATGATTCTGAGTAATCCTTTTAGAACTAGGTGAACTAATGAATGAAGAAGCTATGAGAAATATATACTCTATTGAGAAATGAAAATGGAACTCTCTAAAAAAAATAGTATGAAACAACTTAATCTAACATAGTTGTCTTAAATTAGTGGATAAAAGGTTTTAAATAGCAATGCTTAGCAATATTTCCAGTGGAAAAAGAAACTATCTTGCAACAATGCTGCTGAAAGAAACACCCCTTAACTTTCTAATGATTACAGATGGACATAATATGCATCTTTTGCACAATATCCTATTACTTTTAGAGTAGACTCCAATTATAATGAGAATTCCTTCAGTTATATGGTAAGAACTAGCTATAAAAATTATGTAATTTAAGGATACCATTGTGACCTTAGGTCTTATATAATATTGTAACTTGCTTGCATACATTCCTGGGTCAAAATTCTTAATTATCTTTCATTGGAAATAAATGACAGTGGAAAAAAGTTTTTGTTAGTTATATAGTATCAGATGAACAATAGTGTCTTAATTTTGCTCTACACTGCCTTTGCTGGTGCTATTTTTATACACTGAAACAATAGTCTTGCAGGAAAATAAACAGTTTAAAATAAAACATTCAACTTCATTTGAAAGAATTAAAATGAAGAGGGTATTACTATAGATGTCATAGATATTAAGAAAACTAATAAGATTATAATCAATTTTATGCCTAAAACATGGGAAAGCACAGATGCAGTGAACAAATTCCTAGTAAAACAGAACTTGCCAAAACTGACTTGGGAAGAAATAGAAAACCCAAATGCTCATATAATCACTAAAAATAAGTGCAACGAATGAAATACTAATAGGAATTGGGTTTGCAAAGAAATTCTACCTAACACTCAAGGGAAAGATCTTTCCAGGCCAGTCTCTCAGAGGAGAGACCAAGCAAATGAGCTCACTGCAGAGTAGATTCAAAAACAAGTAGGAGAAGGAAAATGTTAATAACAGGAAACAACTCAGATGTCCATCCACAGGTGAAGAGATAAGTGAATTAGTGTATTCACATAATGGAACACTTTGCAGTGGTGAAAATGAACTGCAGGCACATGCATCAGCACAGTTTGATCTCAAACTGTTAGACACCAATAAAAAAAAAAGCTCTGAAGAAACAAAACCTAGTTCCATTTATATAAAAATGAAATGCTGGCAGAATACCATGACATATTCTTTAGGGAGGCATAAGTTTTTGCTAAATCAAGTCAGGTATTAGTAAGGTTCTAGTTCTTTAACCAAGAGGGGGTTACACTATCCATTTTAAAATTCTTTAATATTCTTTAAATCATGTGTATTTGTTTTCTACAAAGTCTCTTTGGATGTATGATGTATCTCAATGAAAAATGTCTAATCACAGAATCAACGTGTAACAAAAAAATATATCTGAGTGGAGGTAGTTACTTGAGATGATTTTCTTTATTTTGTTGATCTCTGTTGAATGTTTTACTACAAACACAATATTTCCATAATATTTTGAGTGATTTTTAAACCCTTTAGCCTAGAGATAAAACTTCTCTCCAATAATTTCACTGAAAGTCACTTTATCAGAGCCATCACTGTCTGGATTGTTAATCCAAGGGTAGATACCTACCTGCCTGTTTGGTCAAATATGTACACTGCTGGCAAGAAGGACCGAGGCCTCTAAAGTTACAAGGGTATGACCTTCAGGTCTAGGGAAGGGTGAGTGTTCTCCAGAAGGAAGTCAAAACCACAGGGAGACCTCAGGCCACACAGGGCTGCCAGCATTGGCTAAGCTGGGACCTACCAAGCATGGAAATAAGCTTGGGGTTGACTGTGGCTGTTGACTACAGGACCTTGTTCACAAAGTCCTGCAAAGTCGGGCACCCAAATTCACAGCTGAAAGTGGAAAGGAGAAGCATCATACTCCTCCCTCTCCCTGCGTGTAAGGTAGAAGCAACACTGAGTTTGATTCCCATGGTGTCCAAGTGATTTGAACACATGATAACTAGACGTCATGGGACATCCAGAGGAACTGTGATGAGACCCAGGGCCAAGTGCCAGGTGGCACCCATGTTGAAATTGAACAAGGACAGCTATCAATCCAGATGGATTTGTAGCAAGAAACTAGCATCTGTGGCCATAGACAGAGCTGATGTCAGATCCTGTCCTACTCTGGTGCTACAGAGACCCCAGCAGTCTCTAGGGACACCAGGCAATGCTCAGCTTCCCCTGTGTTTGAACCAAGTGTGAGCTGGGAGGGACCAGGCACTCCCCAAAACACAGTCACTTGCAAATACACCTCCGTATCCAACCCAGGGCCCTCTTCCACCTGCATTATGTGTGCTTAAATCTCTACATCAACCTGCTGTTTATATCATCACCAAACATGAGAATGCAGTATCACTTGTGGAAAAGGGAAAGTACTCTTGAACATAGATTTAATCACATGAAACCATGTCATCCAAGTTTGCCCAGATACAACTCTCCTTCAAAGTTGGAGCCTGCCCCTGCCTTCTCTTTAAAAGACACAGCTACAGATATTGGATGCTTTTTAAAAGCATAGGAGCACCAGACTGAGCATCCTTTCACTGAATGAGGCTTGAAATAAAAAAGTTGAAGGAACTCTTTATCATTGAACATTACTAAGCAAAAAGCAAGTCTGCCAGTCATCCCTCGGGGGCAGTGGTGCAAAATGGTATGCCCCAGAGTGAGGCACAGCCTCTTCCTTCTGAAAACGGGTGTCAAATATTTTGTTAAAAACTTTCCTGCCCAGTTTTTAGCTAGCTGAGCTTTAGTGACCAAGCCTTCAATCAGATTGACTTGACATTAAATGAGGCATTAAATGAGAACCTACTAAGTGTCAGCCACAATTGCAAGGCTTTGAAGGGGGTGGAGTGAAACACCTTGCCTTCAGGAAAGAGGTATGTTCACAGCTGATTGTAATGCAAGGTTGACTAAATCTTTGTGTCTTTGTTTCCCAACCTTCCCACAGCCCTGCAAGGCATGCTTTAGATGCTTGGGAATTGTTTCATTAAGATTCAGAAATCTCACACATTCGTTAAGTTCCTACTATGAGCCAGGCAACATATGGGATAATTTTAGACTATTTTATTACACTCAATCCTTTCAAGAATTAGAAAGGTGGTTATTTTTATATCTATTTGAGGTTCAGAGAGGTTAAGTCATTTGACCAAAGGCACACAATAGGTTAGAAGCTTACTTGGGAATTGGAGGGCATCTCCCAAATGTTTCCCCTTGTGGGTTGAGGGAAGAAGCCGCTGTTGCACATGGGAGGCTCCCCTGCCCCATCCCGCCCCATCTTTCTCAGTTCTGGCTGGCTTAGATGAAGCAAAGACCAGAGGTAGTCCCTGGCCCCCAAGGCCTTCCCTAGAGGTCACCTCAGCCCTGACCTGTGCTTGTGTCTCCTCAGGAAGCCAGCATTGTCTTGCACCGTGTGCTCCAGCAACCTTCTGAGCTGCTACAAGAGCCTGTGGGGGCTTAGGTTCCACCACAGAAACATGGGAGCCCCCTCAGAGGAGCAGCCAGGGGAGCCAGCGTGGGAGGAAGCGCTGAGGACACCACCCCAGGAAGTGGTGAGGACACTGCCCTCCGAGGCTGTCTAGACCCAGCCCGAGGACACTGAAGATATGCTCCCAGGCATCAAGATTTGACTCCTGGAGCCACTAAGGAGGCAGCGGTCCCCAGAGTGACAGAGGATGCACCCTAGCCTGAGTCCAGGGTCCTCCAGAGCACAAAGCAGGTGTGGGATTCTCGGGTCTAGAGGATCATGGTGAAACACCCTGTTCTAGCTTAACGTTCCTAGACAGATGCTCAGGACTCCCCAGAGCCCGGGTCTGCCGAATTCCATGGTTCAAAGTTCATGTTGATGCTGACCCTGAGACAGGAGCAGAGACAGCAGGTCACGAGAGGGTGTGTGTGTGTGTGTGTGTGTGTGTGTGTGTGTGTGTGTCTATAGCTTCTTGCCTCCTCGTGGGCTCTGCAGGATGAAGGAAAGGAAAGGAAGAGGGGGCAGAGGATGGAAGGGAATTAGCCTTTAATAAACACCTACTGTGTACCAGGAATTCCACCTGCATGAGCTCACCTAACCCTCATCACAACCTTTGTGGTAAGGACCCCAGTCCCAACTTTACAGAGGTGGAAACTAGGCTGAAAGAATACCGAAGACCATTCAGTTAGAAAGTGTGTCTGGCACAGAGAAGGCCCTGGAAAAATAGTTGTTGAATTAATAAACAAACGAATGAATGAATGAACAGAAGGGAAGATGAGCGTAAAGCCAGTCTCAAGCCCATGCTCTTGACATGACACTACACTGCCTCCTCTCAGGTGAGAGGTCCAGATATTTCCTTGACCCAGACCACCCTCCTTTTACCAGGAGTCTGGGGAGGGGAGCCCTTCACGCTGCAGTATCGCCCTCTCTGGTGCTTTTAGTCAACGAGAGGTGTGGAGTAAACTTGCTGGGGAATGTGCTGGGTGTCAGGGAGGAGAGGTTGAGGCTTACATGGGGACTCAACAGACAACAGACAATAGCAGGGAGTTGACCCCACAGTGCCCTCTGCTGGAAGCATGACCTTGGGCACAGGAATCCCTCTGAGCAGCTCTTAACTACTCCATCCAAGGGGTGAGCACCCCTTTTCAATTTTCAGAGTTGTTGAAGACACCCAAGGTGATGGGGTAATAACTGCCCCCCAGAGAGACGAGGGTGTCCATGAACTGTCCTCTCTGACCACTGCCCTTCCCTGAGCCTACTCCCCCCTTGGGTCTTAAGACTCCCTCCTGGCTTCCCCTCCCAGCCCACCTATACCTTTCCAATCCCTCTTACACCTCTCCAGGGACATTTGGAGACATCGCTCCATATGGCCATCAGATATGGCCATGCCCCCAGGCTCGCTCCTGAGCCTTCTCTTCTCACTACAGTTCCTCTCCTTGTGTGAACTCCCCATCCCCACTGGCTTTCTTCTTTTTATTTGATTATCTCACAGCAACTTCAGCTACCAGGTCATGCACAGAGCTGTTTTCATGACTCAAAATGCCCTTCCCACCCTTTTGGCCATGAGATCTCAGCTGAAATATCTCCTCCTTGAGGAAGTCTTTCTTGACCCTCCCTATTAGGTCAGGGCCCCAGTACACACCCCCAGAATTATCTTTGGAAGTCAATGATATGGTAGTAATTAAGAATCATCTGTGTGATTCTCTGATCTCTCACTCTGTCTCCCCAACTCAGAAAGGCGTGGGTCCTGTTTCTGTTGATCTTTGTGTGCCTAGCCTTTAGGAGAGTATTTAGCACATAGTAGGAGTTCAAGGGAAGGTATGATTTGCCCTGATGGTACCTGATGCTCAGTTTCTTGACTGGCTTCCTTCTGGAAGCCCCAATTTCCTTGGTAGTCTTCCCAGAAATAGGAGGCCCATGGGTCTCTAGGTCACGGCCCAGTAGCTGGAGATATGAGACTGGTCTGGCTCCAACCCCAGGTGCCCATGCACCACTGGCTGCTGCAGGAGCCTCCTTCAAGTCTGTCCCAAGTTGCCCCTGCCCTTCTGAAATCTCCTAGAGCCTCTAGTGGCTGCAGAAGTGGGGCGTGTGCTGCCTAGAGAAGGAACATCTGTGGTGGGTCCCCAAATCCATGTTCCATGTTACCATCGTGTTCCAATAAAGCTATCAAAACAGATGCTGCTTCACAGTTTTATTTTTTCACTTCCTGGTAAGGAAATACTTCCCAAACTTCATAATGTGGTATCTTGATTTAGAAAAAGAGTTATGATAAAATGCTGGGGTTAAGGCCAACTTGGAAGCTGCCTTAAAAAGAAAAGAAGTTCAAGGAAAATTAGGTTTCCTCTTAAAATACCTTATTAGACAGGAGGGGTGGGCTGGTAGGAAGAATCAGTCTTCATTGTGCCCACTTGGTGAGCCAGGTACCTGGTAGGTGCCCGGCACGTGTTTGTGGAATGAAACCTTTCTGCAGTTGTCAAATTCAGAGATGCCTTTGTTAAGTGGGAGAAAATGACATCTTTGAAATGGAAAGCTTGTCAATCCAGGATACTCAAAATAGAGTAGATGGTGAGGTGCAAGAAACCAGGTCAAGAAAAAAATTATTGGTTTTGCGCAAGGAAAGAATCCCACAGGTACCAATGAAGAGTTTGGAAAGTAAAGGGAAGGTGCTAGCTAGAGTCAAGGTCACCACTTGGGAAAGGATGTCAGACATGAGCACAGCCCCTCAGAGGGAGAGGCTTACGAGGTTGCGGAATCCTGAACCTCTGGCCTCACAGCAGAACAGGTGAAGACACACCTTGATGAACCTCCACAGGAAGCAGAAAAGATATCACAAGTCATCACAATCAAAGCTTATGGGAACTGAGCTGCCCAAAATGCTCTTTTCTGCGGAAGAAAGACAAAATATGTGAAGGTAGATTCAGGAAAGATGAAAGCAGAGATAGAGACAATCGATGGCATTAGCAGTCCTGTGTAGATGGGGGAGATGACAGAAGAGTTTCCTCTGAGCTATACCCATAGCTGTGATTAATATGGGGGTACTTTTTATGCAACCAGAGAGGGCAGAAAGCCTTGGAGTCACAATGTCCAAAATCCTGTTCCAACAGGTTTAGATCCCACCAAGTGGAAGAGAAGCAAAACCCTCTCTAGGCAAAGGAGGGGTGGAGACCCTGGAGACTGGAAGAGGAGTTTCCACAGGGGCTGGTGATGGGACATCAGAGGCAGCTGCATTAGGGTTTTGATCTCACCCCGTAAGAAATGGGATGGCTTTGAATGGTCTTCATTAGGAGGGGGCCCAAATGACAAGATCTGTGTGTGAAAAGGTAATTCAGTCTCCAGTCTCAAAAATGGATTAGACTTGGGGTGGTGGGGAGGAGGTGACAGCTTGGACATGAGCAACCCCACTGCAGGGGATCAACTGTGAAAATCAACTGTCTCATTTTATCGGGTCTACCTCAGACTCTACTGCAGACCTCAGGGCTACGTGCTGGGAACCCAAGGGAATTAAACTCTTTTTTGTGCCCCACAGAGAGGGGTTTGCACCTCAATATCATCAGGGAGTCAGGGAAGGAACGGGAAAAGTTGGAAAGTGTAGTGTGTGGAACATGGAAGAACGTAGGTCATTCCGGCATTTAACCTTCGCGGACCACCCATCTAGTCCTCAGGACTAACTCTAGAGGAGAGCTTATGATCATCTTGGTCCATTTTAGAGATTCTTTCCAGATCATTCAAGCAGGAAATGATAGCCAAAGAGACACATCTTCCACCAGAATTCCCAAAGTCCATCAAGATTTCAAACATTCCAGTAAAAACTCAGACGTCCTGGTCACTAACAGCCTGAAGCATGACAGCAAGACACCCCCTTCATCTATCCAGCAACCCTATAAGGCTCATAATTTATTACTTTAAGGTCATTGCATATGTCAACACCACGTTCCCAACCTCCCGGTTCAGGTCACATAGTACAACATATTTCTCACGTCCCGAGATGCCACCATGGGAGGTGGAGCATTGGTCTGGCTGGACCAGAGCCCTCTTTCCTGGGCCACTGCCAAGGCCCTCTTGTGCCAGGAGGACCTGGCAGGATGCCCAAGAAAACAGGGTCCCAAGGGGATATACCATCTGGGCTGTGTGGCTCCCTGTCTGCTCTCAGCTAGCCCAGCACTGCTTCACCGACTCATTTCTTCCCCTGGGCCCTGCCAGGCAGAAGTTAGCATCCTGAGAACCAGGGCCTAAGGAGGATGTGACGAACCCGGAACTCAAAACCCAAGCAAGTGACACCGCTGGGATTCCAACCCAGAACTGCTGGTCTCCAAAGTCCAGGTCTTTTCACTCTCATTTCTACTATGAAATTAATTTTTAAAGTTTAAACAATGTAGAATACAATCTATTTTAGAAATTGTAATAATATATCTTTAAGGTTCAACCATATTAGCATGCAAAAAGTATCCTTCTTTATTTTTTTGGTTGTATTTTTTTCTTAATTGAAGTAGTGTTGGTTTACAACAATTCTGTAACTTAGGGGTATGGGTTCACACCTCTTCAAGTGTGTGTTACCACACTATGCCCACCACCCAAACACCATAATCCTCCAGCAAGTCCATTGGGCCCCCTCCCACCTTTATTTCCAGCCTTAATCCCCCACTATCCCTATAGCCTTAATTCTACAGTTAGATTTCTAGGGTTTGTTTTAGTTTCATTTTGTCTATTCCTTTGTTTCTTTATATTCCACATAAAAGTGAAATCATGCAGGATTTCTCTTTCTCCTTCTGATTTATTTCACTTAGCATAATATGTTCCAGGTCTACCATGTTGTCACAAATGGCAGGGTGTCATCATTTTTATAGCTGAATAGTATTCCCTTGTGTATATAGACCACAACTTAATCCACTTAGGTTATTTCCATCACTTGTCAACTGTAAATATTGCTGCAATCCTTCACTATTTTTAAACACACATTAGAAGGTATTCCATGGTATCAATAGCCATCAGGTCAATCAACCATGCATCCCTCTAGTCATGGACTTTTGAGTAGTTTCTAATTTTTAGTTATTTCAACAATAATATGCTGATCATCTGTCAATGTCTCCTCATACACATGTGGGTATCTTACTTATTAGGGTGAGTGTGCATGTGTGTGTGCATGCACATGTAGCACACACATAAGTATAATTCCAGCTATGCAATAGTCCTCCAGAAAGACATGGTTCATTCCAACGGCTGACAATGTCTCAAGGACACCCAGTTCCCCACAGCCCCGATATACCACCTGTGTCTTTCTACCGCACTGTGGTTTCTTTCCTCCCCTATAAGTTAGAACATCCCTCCTAGAGATGTTCCATCTGCAGTCAGGATGGAACAGGACATTTAGGCAGAAGAAATTCTCTGAGCTTCCCTTAGGCTCACCCCAGGTCTTCCACAAGCTCCTCCATCCCTGCCTTCTTCTGTGGAAGAAGTTGGCCTTGCCTAGATCAACCTGGCGAGAGGCTGTGCCTGTCCACAATGACTGCAGTAGGGCTGCATAACAAACATCCACCCAATCCCTCAACATGTGACAGTAAACACTTATTTAGCCCATGAACCTGTAGGTTAGTTAATCTGCTGGGGTGTTTTGGCTTTGCTCCCCATATGTCCCCTCCTCTCTTGGGGCCAACAGACCTGCCCAGTACAATATTCTTCTGGTGAACATGGCAGGGGGGACACAAGAACCAGCCCAGCAGCACACGGGTGTTTCAAGTTTCTGAGCATCTTGCCTGTGAATACATCATTAGTCAAAGCAAGTCCCATGGGCCGTCATGGATGGAGTGAGTAAACTGACAAGTCTATGGCTCCAAGGCACAGTAGTGGGGCAGGGTGCCCATCTAATCTACCACAGAGACAGAACATGGATAGGAATGGAAATCTGCATGACTCCAGAGCTCTGCCCAGAGCCCTCAGGACAGAGGGACAGCCCTCTGGAAATTTCCAGAGTTCTCTAAGTCACCCGATTCTCTGTATCATAGTTGCTTCCCATCTCCTACCTGCACCAATGTTTATTCAAAATCTTGGCCTGTAGCAAGATCTTTAAGACTCAAATCTGGGTCTTGGACCTGCCAGGTCAAAGTTCCTACAGTTCCCCCATCCTTGTGACTTTAAATGAGCAGGTGTAAGTATCCAAATTCTTTTGTTGCTTTGTTCTAAGTACTTTGTCAATATGATCTCACTGAATCTTTCAAAAAACTCTGTGAGTTCTGTATTTAGCCCTTTTTCCCCAGTCCCCTTAATTAATTACTCACACATGGTATTCAGATAGATAAATAGAATCATAGATAGATGGCAGACAGGTAGATAGATACATAGATAACAGATTGATCAATAATGTAGATAGATAATAGATGATAAAGATAAAGATAGATGATAGATCTTTGAAAAGGCACACCATTTGTAATGAGCCCCATATAGACAAAGCCAAAACTTTTTAAAGCCACACTTGACTAGAAGGCTTCCAGCAGACATGGAGTAGTGGAGAAGAGCCACAGAGAGAATGTGAATTGCTTTTTTCTTAACTAAAGTCTTTAGTTCAAGAGAGATCCAAAGTGCTCCCCTCACCCTCAAGAAGGGTCTTCAAGCTTCCCCTTTCTTCTATATCATGACCAGCACCCTGGATCAGGCCTTATTGTGGCTTTTTGGGATTCCTAACTAATATTCCAGTCCCTCCTTTTATAGGTCTGGCCATCTCAATTGTCCCCATATGCATCCCAGTACAAATGGATCACAGTGTCTACTGACTTGTCCTGCTGAGTAAATGTTACTTTACTTCCTAGTGCACCATCTTTCATAAAAATGGATAATTACAGCAACTCACAGTGCTGTTGGAAAGATTCAGTGAGATTGTGTTGGCAAAGTGCTTAGAACAATGCAATAAAAGAATTTGGACACTTATACCTGCTCAATAAAAGTCATAAGTAGCAAAAGTTATTGCTAAAACACAAATCATTCTAAACAATCTTCTTCTTAAGCACCTATGTGACTCCATCACTTATGGGCACCTGCTTGATCTGGGCCATGCTCCCATACGGATACAGGTTCTAGCCAGGTGATGGACAAACCCTGCTCTGAATGGCTATGCATTATTGATAAATCAGTTCTCAGCCTTCCATATGCCAAAACTTTGCAGGCTACCCTGTCCCCAA